CAGTTAGCTAAAGAACATTATAGTGCCTCTAGAATAAACAACTTGCTAAAGAATCCAAATCTTCTTTGGATCCAGTTGTTACTAACACTGACATGCCAAGTATTATGGTCTTTCAGATTATGGATCGGATAAAAGAGTAAGTGGGTGCATCTACACATACAATTAGCATGTAGCAATACATTCCAGTTCATGCCAGAGTTTATTGCTCCCGGGCTCAGCATTTACATATGTGCCTAGGACCACAGTATGAGCTGGGGCACAGCATCCCCAGTCACTGTCTACATGTGCATTTCGGCACACAACTACTCTGCCGTAAGATAGTACTTGTCCTAGACAGTACTATCCTTCAGCAGAGTTAATTAATTTACCACACCCTAAAATGGGCACTTCTGTAGACAGTGACGATTTACTGCAGAGCTAATTAGTCAGCTCTGCGGTAAAGCACATGTGTAAATGCACCCAGAGAGGCCTGAAATTTGACATTTACTTTTGGGGGTAGCAGTTCTTGCTGCAATTATGTTTGAACTTTATAGTACTACAGTATTTCTCCACTGCCAAAGAAAGTGGTTTTGCTAAAGTTTCTGTAAGGATTTTTCACCTTTCCTCAGCACACAGAGGTTGGTATGAAGTTTACAGCAATAATATTCAGGGTAGATTTCACTTGAGCGTACTCAGTGTGCCAGATTCTGATATTTACTGGAGTAAAGTTGGAGCTGCTGCACTTATTTCATATTAAACACATACCGTGCCAACATTGTGATCAACATACTCCAAAAATGGGGGTGGCTAAACACGTTACTAATTGTTTATGGCTATAGAAGTTAGACTTTGTTTCCCCTAAAAAAGGGAACCATGGTCTCAGTCTTCTGAAACGTGATGGCTTGGCAGGCCTGAAGATATCTTTATTCACAAATAGCAATTGCACTAGTTACAGAACAAACTTCCTGCATACTGCCTGATTTAATGTTGAGCAGGAGAGATCACCTGCAGGGCATACAAAGATATGGTTTAGAATCAGTCCTGATGAATATCAAGACTTTTTCTTGAGGCTGTCAAGGTTGTCAGTTGTGTGGGTTGGTTCTAAGAGGTGGACAAAGATTCACAACTCACTCCACAATGTGTTGATTACGCAGAACCAATTTGACTTCGTCTGAACTACGCCCAAAGTGTAGAAGTTCTGTATCCAATTGCCAACCCCCAGATCTATGTAGTTCCCATTTCCAAGTCTCTCTTGAATTGAGCACCAGTGTTTACCACTGCCAGGACAAATTAATATAGCTCCCTTGAGATTTGGTCAGGGTTGCTTTTAGATTGTGAAGAAAGGTGTTCCACCAATTTTGTGTAAAACTATTTCCTTTTCTCAAAAGTCTAAAGTATTCACTGATACAGAAAAGAGACTACAAACACAGTATACTTTGCTCTAGATTATGAGACGTTTACTTGAAGATATTTTCTTTTTTACTATGTTGTAAGGAACTCCTAAGCATTGCTTTATTAAAGGAAATGCTGAAATGGAATCCAGTACTATATGGTCAGGGTACTTGATTTTGTTTTTAAACATGCTTCCCCCTTGCTTCCTCAATTACAACTTTGCAATATTTTGGTGCTAAAACAAAATAATTGAATTCTTTGAGCAACATGTGTCAGTACCGATATGGTAGTTCTATTTACGGTAATATGGATGTTACTTTATCTTTAATGAAAACAAGAAGGTTCATTAGAAATTCTCCCTGAAAGTAATGGAAACATTTAGTCGAAAGTCATCACTGGACCCTGGGAAGGGCACATTCTCTAGGGGGCAGGCAGTTTGTTCTCTTCTCTCTGTAGGGCTAGGGACAGAAATTACACATAAACTGGTTTAAGTAATCAGAACCTGTAACAGAACAGAAGTGCAGTGCACATAAACCAGTTTAAAAATGGCTGAAGGGGTTTAAGATAAACCTGGCTGAATGTAATATCAGTTAACAGATTTGGGTCAAACCAGTTTATGAAACTTCTGTCCCAGACCCCTTCCTGGTTCAAGTTAAATCAGTCCCCCAGCATCCCAACATGCTTTCCAGCCCTGGGCTGGGCTAGGCTGAGCTGTCTGCTCCAGCAGAGAAGGGTTGGGGTGAGGGGAGGCAGGGACTTACCCCACCCCACCCAGGCAAACCCTGGCTGGTGTCTGGGGGAGGGAGGGTTAAACACCTCTTCTCCTGCTCAAACTTACTGCTAGCTGCAACTGTGGACTACAAATCCCATAGGCACCTGGAAGCAGCCCCTGCCTGTCCCTGGAGGCAGGAAAAGGAAGTGATGAATAACCCTGCAGAGTCTTGCTGCTGTGAGTCTGGACTGCAAATCCCTTGGGGGCAGCAGGAAAAGGAAGTGAACACACAGCCCATGCTGCTTACATGCCAGAGAGCTGTGCTCTAGCACACCCCAGCTTCTGGCCTGAGCTACTGCAGGCATGTGGCTGCATTTTCCTGAATCAAAAATAAATGTGTGTCTAGTTTAATCTCTGCAGTTTAGACTAACCTGCAAACACTGAACCGATTCAGCCTTGGGCTTTTTGACCATCTTTACTTAGTCTAGGTGATCAGTAGGGATCCTAGTTTTTTGTTTGCCATGGAAAACCGTGGATTTTTGTGCATTTAAACAGGGTTGTTTTTTTTCTTTTTTCACACAGAAAATTAAGATCCCTGGTGGTCAGCCAGGCTGCTCCCATGTAGAGTTCAGAGTGCATCCTATAAGATTGTTTTTCCTGTAATGGTAGTGAAAAGCCTCAGCCAGATTAGAGCTCTGCAATACTAGACTGGATTTTTGACCAGGCAAAAGTACATGGTCAATTAACCTGTTAAATATTGTCAAATAATGGCTAAGAATTTTAAGCATTAATTTATTAGAACAGTAACAAGAGAGGCTTTAATCTTTATTAGGTTAGATAATTACAAAAACAAACAAGTTAACTGTTACCTTGAAACAATGAAAAATCTAAAAAAAATTGTAATGAATTATAACCAACAATGTTAGGTGAGTGTAAATGTGAACAATGTTGACAACTGAACAGTTCTTCACCTTGGCTTTCATCCCAGAACTGCAGGGTGGGTGCAAACAGTTGTAATACAAGAAGCAAAATAAGAAATAAACACACAAAGTGTGAGAGACAAGTTGGGTTTTTCTATGCTGCTGGTTCACGTTTCTCCCTAGGCACAAGGGAGCTCCTGCAGTCCCATGTGACTAATGGTGGGGAAGGAGCGGGAAGGGAAGGAGGGAAATGAGGCTGGAAGAGCTCAGGAGAGAAGTAGGGCTAGGGTACCTGCTCCTAAATGGACTGATAGTGGCAACTCACACACAGTACCGTACCTAGGCTCCTGGAGACCCCAGGCAAACTTTTAGTATTGGGCCCCACTTTGCCAGAGATAATGATAATAATTAAAAAATTACCATTTTCCGGCCCCCTTTCTGTCCGGGCCCCAGGCAACCGCCTGGTTCACCCACGCTTGTGTCTGGCCCTGTTCACACAGCACCTGCAGAGTCCTGAACGTATTCAGAATGTTGCAAGATCAGGCCATGTTATTTACTGTGTATTACAACAGTGCAAAGGAACCTTTGTCACAGATGTGCAAAGCACCATGCAAAGGTAGAACTAACAGATATTCCCTACCCCAAGAGTTTGCAGAAATACGATCAAACACAGCCTGCACTTGGTGTAGCTCCACAGACTAAATCATATGCTATCACTTGTGTACAGCAAGCTTTTCTCATCTGGTTTGTGCTGCAAATATGTAGTCTAATGATGATGGAATAAGGAAAGTGGCAAACACTTCATTGGGCTGGCTTATGTCTAATCTATCTCTTGATTTTTGTTTAAGATGGAGGCGGGGGGAGCATGTGACAAATGTAACAGTGTTATAACTACTACCAGTGATTTCATCCCTGCTCTGTTATGTACTCACTGGGCCCTTAGTAAGTTTACTTACCAAGAAATTCTATTAACTTCTGTGGTTCCTAAAGTTATTGCGAGTAGAAGCTGCAGAGCTGGGATCAATATTTTGTCTGACTTAATGGCTATGGATGGCAGCTTGCAAATAATGTAACCAGTATTATTACATCTTAAGGCAAGATTGTTTTTTTTTGCAATTGAAAAAAGCTTCTTAGGAAGGATTGGAATTACTGTTGCTATTTATTAATTTAAAAAAAATATCCCTGCCCAATCAGAATTTGCATTTGGCAGTATTATTTCACATTTGCTGTCATTTCTGGCACATCGTAATAAGCAAATAGCAGTTTAATATATTGACACAGTCATAGCAATCATCATATGTACGCATTTTATGTCAACATCCAATGAGTTCTGTTGGGTCCGGTTTACCTATTGGCTCATACAATGGGACAGTGGGGGCTAATCTTGGTGGGTGTGCCACACATTAGCTCCCACTACTTCCTGACCTATGCTCCCTATCCAACCTGGCACTCTGCTTTTTGCTTCATTCCCTGTGTTCTCTGTCTCACCTGCTGCTCTGCTTTCTGCCCTATTTTCCACTGTGCTGTTTCTCTGGTCTGTTGCATACTGAAACCACCTGTGACACTTGTGACACGTGTTTCAGGTTGGCCAGTCCTGCAATGGGAAATAGCAGAAACATGCTCTCACAAAAGGAACTTGAGGTAGGTTTTGGAATTTGCTATGTACAGAATAAGCATTTTTGGATTTTCAAACTGATGTGAAAAGCAGCCCTACGGGCAAACATCCTTTGATTTATATTCATAGCTCCACAGCAAATGCATAACCAAAGCTAAAGTGTAGATTGCTCAATTGGGTATGTGGCTTTTCAGTAGATAAGCGCTTTTATGTTATTCTTGCACTTACTGGCTCTTTCTGCTGTTACACTGATCCAAAAAGGCTGTCTTTGGTTTGTATCTTGTTTCAAGATGCAACCCCCTCCCCTCCCCCGCCCCCTGCTCCCCCTGAATATGGAGCACATAGGAAAGAATAATGCTGCATGGCTCAAGCAATTCTGAACTCAGTGTCCTCCTTGATCTCTGAATATAGCTTCAATCTGACTGTTGAATGGATTCTCTTTTCCAAGCACTTGAGGCCATTCATGTAATGCCTTCTGCCAGAGAATTCTTGCCCCAAGTGCTGTAGCAATCTGCAAAGAGCGTATAGAAATATGGTCAGTTTCTTATTCTGCCTTCGCTGGTTGCTTTTATCCTGCGGTAGTGCTTTGAAGCCTCAATTCTACTCAAGAGCCCTATTGCAAAAAGCATTGCACAATCACATAATGAAAAGATGGTCTATATTCTCTTCCCACCCTGGGTTTGGAGAAAAGGAAACCTGAATTGGAGAAGTGACCCTTCCCTAGCAATGTTCTCTTTCCCCCTCTCTCTGTCTCTGTCTCTCTCTCCGTCTCTCTCTTCCCTTAGTACAGTGGGGCACAATACAGCGAGGCAGGAACCCAGTAGGCAGGACCCAGCATGGGAGGGAGCACTGCACCACCAGGGCTGCCAAGATGAGGCATGGCAGTACCAGTGGGGAGTTGTGCCCCCACTGCTGCCAGGTGGGCAGGGTGTGCCTCACCTTGGTGGCCATGGTGCCACAGTCCTGCTTTCTGCACTGGGTTCCACCTGTTGTGTCATGGAGGTGGCTCCTGCCTGGAGCTGGTCCAGCCTGGATGCAGCCCCATATCTAACTGTGGGCACAGAAATCTGGAGGGGAGGGCATGTGCCTCTCCCACTCCCTCCGACATGTCGCCTGTGTCCTCCCACCCTTATAGACTTACCAACAAGGAGCTGCTCTCCACCACTGCCTGACTGCCACGTGCACATGCACATGCCATGGTGCTCCCTGTGTTCTATTCCCCACAGCTCCTTGCAGGCTGGAACTCTGACAAATGGCAAATGGAAAACCCAGATCCCTGCTTATAGGGAAAGTAAAATATATTGCTTGTACACATGCAAGTGGTAAGTGGCACTCACTAAAGTCTTTGTTTTCTTATTTTTCCTTTTATGCAAATGCATATGTGGTATGGCAAAATAAATTGTATGCAGCATTCAGGGATGTTTAAAAGTTGTCTTTCATTTACTTGTAGTGCTTCTGCATTGTCAATTTTCTGTTAAAACATCTGGGGCTGACCAACCCCTCCCTCCCACCCCAAGGTGCTCAACAGGGATAATTTCAAGCATTCCTCCAGAATTTAGAAGCACAAGAAGTCCTCATAGCTAAAGGGATTTGTGTTTCTAAATCTCTTGAGTACTTTTGACAACTTTTACTTCCAGCTAAAATCCACGAAACCTGCACATGCTCAGCAACCTCTTTTAATGACATCACACTTACTTTTAGTATTTTAAACTGGTTAACAATCTATAGCTCACCACTGGTGTTGATTGACTGCACATCCCTTCACTTGTGGAGTGTGTTAATTGATTCAATGTGACCTGAGTAGTAGTGCTGTGTGAAACAGTATCATTTCATTTTGATGGGACAGTGTTTCGTTTTGAGTTTTGTTTTGTTTTGAAACCACTGTTCCATTTTGTTTTGTTGAAACTATTTCACTGTTTCGACATTTCGCCCATAGGCTACAATGGGGAAGCATAAAACTACTTATAACTTTATCATTTCTTGTCTGATTCAGATGAAATGTACAGGGATGGTAGCCCCTTCTGAGGCCATGAAGTCTACCAAGTTTCAAGGAGATAGGTGCAGGGGGTTCTGGGAAATTGCACCTCAAAGTCTTGAAAGCAAAACTTATATCACATGTTAAGGCACTTCTTCCTTCCTCCCCCGCCCGAGGCGGAGGGTGAAAACACTCCCCGACCCAGGGATCTGAAACAGCACCGACCATGGCCGTTGGGTGCTTGGCAATCTCCAGAATCCCCGACTTCTCCTGATATAACCCCGGGAGGTGGGTGGAGAGTACAGTTAGGAGCAGACTCCGGGGTTAAAAAAAAATCACAGGAAATCTGATCCTGGCCGTGGGAAGGGAAATGGGGTATTTCCCCTAAGAAAACAAGTGGTACCCGGGCCCCTCGAAGATGATGGTGAGCCAACCTACCGTCGAACCTTTGTGCACGTTCCTTTCACTACCTCAGATTTGTATAACTGGCGGAACAATACCCCCAGCTTGAAAGAGGATCCTGAAAAGGTACAAAACCTGTTTGAAACGATTTTCAAAACCCATAACCCAAC